CCAGTGCCTCCCAGTCTGTCCCAGTGCCCTCCCAGTCTGTCCCAGTGCTTCACCAGTGCCGCCCAGTCTGTCCCAGTGCCTCCCAGTCTGTCCCAGTGCCTCACCAGTGCCTCCCAGTCTGTCCCAGTGCCTCACCAGTGCCTCCCAGTGCCCCCAGCTGCCCTGTACCCACCTCACTCCTGGGGAAGGGTCCCCAGTGCATCAGAACCCCTCCCAGTAACTCCCAGTGTGTTCCAGCATCTTCCCAGGTCCTCCCAGTGCCCTCCTAATGCCTTCCCAGTGCCCTCCCAGTGCCTCCCAGTAACTCCCAGTGCCCACCTTGGTCCTCCTGGGCACCATCGTTGCAGTTGCCCTGCTTGCGCACCCGCTTGCCCTTGCCCAGGTTGCGCGCCAGGTCCTCCCAGTGCTTCCCAGTGCCCTCCCAGTGGCTTCCCAATGCTTCCCAGTGCCTCCCAGTGCCTTCCCAGGTCCTCCCAGTACCTCCCAGTACCTCCCAGTAACTCCCAGTGCCCACCTTGGTCCTCCTGGGCACCATCGTTGTCGTTGCCCTGCTTGCGCACCCGCTTGCCCTTGCCCAGGTTGCGCACCAGGTCCTCCCAGTAACTCCCAGTGCCTCCCAGTGCCCTCCCAATGCTTCCCAGTGCCCTCCCAGTAACTCCCCGTGCCCACCTTGGTCCTCCTGGGTGGCATCATTGTCATTGCCCTGCTCGCGCACCTGCTTGCCCTTGCCCAGGTTGCTCACCAGGTCCTCCCAGTAACTCCCAGTGCCTCCTAGTGCCTTCCCAATGCTTCCCAGTAACTCCCAGTGCCCTCCCAGTAACTCCCCGTGCCCACCTTGGTCCTCCTGGGCGGCATCGTTGTAGTTGACCTGCTGGCGCACCCGCTTGCCCTTGCCCAGGTTGCGCGCCAGGTCCTCCTGCTGCTGCTCGTAGTGGTGGCGCAGGAGCTTCTCCCAGTAGTCGGGGTCGACGTTCTCCTCCTGCTTGATGATCTCCCGCTCGATCTCCTCGATCTGCCGGCACACGTCCCCGTCAGCCGCCACCCCGGGCACCCATGGGCACCCTGTCGGCCTGGGGTGGCCACCGCCAGGGCGGTCATGGTTGGCTCCA